AATGGAAAGTATTTAACAATAAAAAAATTTATAATTATTCTTAATATGCAAAATCTACGTGAAGTAATAAAAAGTAATGGAAAGTATTTAACAATTCTTCTTCTTCTTCTTCTTCTTCTTCTTCTTCTTCTTCTTCTTCTTCTTCTTCTTCTTCTTCTTTACCAACTCTTTCTTTTAAACTATTTAACTTGCAAAATTTTATTTTATGGATGTTTTCTTATCCCTCCGCTCATTTCCAATTTCTTTTTTTTTTTTCTAGTTCTAATCTTTAACTTATATTATAAACTGTTTTAATATGTTAATATAAGTAATCAAATTAAAGTTTAAAAAAAAAAGTGATTTGAATGAGATTTTAGTGTAATTGAATGTATATTTCCAAATATATATGCTAATAATATTGGATATATATATATAAGTTAGAACGAATGTAAAGTAGAAATTATATTTAAAAGGACTAAAAAGTTAATAATAGTCTAATAAATATAAAACAAGAAACATAAAATTTTCTTACAAAAAAAAAAATCTTTATAGGACTTGATCTCTATCAAATTCATACTTTTCTTGTTTAGTTTAGTATATAAATTAATACTTTTATTACTTCAATTGACCTCAATCCCATGAGAATAGTTTTATCTGTAATGTACACGAAAAAAAAGGTAAAACCATAAGTTAAGCCCCTGAACTAACCCTAGAATCGCTATTAAGCCCCTAGACTTTAATTGATGCAGTTAAGCCCTTGAACTCTGGGATCAAAGCAATTAAGCCCTTCCTCTTACACTATTAAGCCCCTAGACTTTAATTTTTAAAATAAATTGCTTAAGAAGAAGGGCTTAATTGCTTTGATCCCAGAGTTTAAGGGTTTAACTGCATCAATTAAAATCTAGGGGCTTAATAGCGATTCTGGGGTTAGTTCAGGGGCTTAACTTGTGGTTTTGCCAAAAAAAAATTGAACTGTAGTAATCAACAAAGAAAAGAATGCAAAAATTTTAAACAGGTAAAATTATGAAATAAGAACAACAATCATATATTTTACAAAAAAATTCATAAAAAAGAATAATAAGACAAATAAAAAATCATTTATACAACAATATACATATTTTGGATAAAAAGGGAAAAAGAAATATAAAAGCAACACATAATTTTATATTTAGTTATAATATAAAATAGAAAACAAAAAGGTAAATAATATTTATAACTTACCATGTTAGTAAAAAAATTAAGAGATAAAGAGGAGAATATGATATATTGGTATAGAGAAAAGTGAGAGTTTATATATAAGTGGATATGTAGATGAAATGGTATAGAGAAAGACTATTTAATATTTAATGCAACAATCTTTTGTTTTTATAATGATATTTGTTTTTTAAAATAAAAATAAAAATAATATTTAGTGTCTAATTAATACATTATAAGCTAAAATGGAACTCTCCCAATTATTTATTATTGTGAATTTCACTTTATGTATTTTTCTTATTTTCAAGTAATTTATTAAGTAATTTTTAAATAATTAAATACATACCTTATTTAATGCATAAGGTAACATTATATATATATATGATAAAGAAAATTTATTTTAAAAAATATTATCTCCTATTATATAAATTTATCATAAAAAGTGAAAAATATATATATACACTACATTTCTATAGTAATGGTTCTTTCCTTTTGTTAAATCATCAAAGCATTTTATCCAATTGAGTAACTACACTTTACCAACATTAAAAGATTTCTTAGGCATTGGATTCATGGGAAAGGAAGGAGCATCGATTCTCTTCTTTT